GATTTGAGAATTACTCAGTATGAGAGCTTCACATTGATCTCTCATACTCTCATCCACTGTTTTCCACACATTTATAAGAAGGTCTCTACCATAAATAAGAGAAAGTAGCTCCTTCTGCGGAATAGTCCACTTATCCCTCTTTGGCTGAGGGAAAAGACCACCTTTAGCGCAAACCCTAGTCCCACTTGGAGTTCTAATATCCACCCCCCAAGTGCTTTGGCTAGCATCAACATAGACAAGCAACTTCTTACAGTCAATCTTTCTGGGAACCTTGGTCTCGAGGACAGCCTTCTTAACCAAGGCCAACCACTTACTAGTAAGAACACATAGGTCATCTGGTAGTCTAGCATCCCACGCATATTGGGAAGCTCTCTGTACCAGATGCCTTCCTTGTATGTCTAGCTCAATTACCAATCCTAACGGATCGTATAACGAGTTAGTCATAGACAACAATTCTCTCCTTGTAGTGGGTGGTTTATCAGGAGGCTTAAAAGATACACCAATCGTATCTCCTCTTGCCCCATGCCACGGAACTCCCAATATATTAGCAGGATCATCTTGATAGTGAAAGACCGTTTTTGAAGTTGCCACCGGAAAACCATCTTCAACGCAGCGAGCCACCAATAATCGTTGTTGGACATGGATATCAACACCATCAGGGTGTTCAGGGTGGATGACCCACCCTTATCACAGGGTGATGAAACAAAAAATGCTTCACCTCCTCACTGTCGACAGGACGGATAAACCCATTATCAAGCCATTGCTTGAACTGGTCACTATAAGCATCCACCAGTTCTTGGCCACCTCTTCTCTTTAGCGAATACTCCAACCTCTTAGCTCTCTTGACCGCAGCCTTGAAAGCCTTGTGGGGCCTTTGGGACGATCTCCATTCCAATGATGCCATCCTACCCTCATAGGTTTTGGACTCATAGACCTTAGTGGCATTAATCTCATCGGCGACATCAGCCATTTGTGACTTTACATGGTCACAATGAATAACCACTCGATGAGGATCTTCCACCATAACCTTATTGACTTGAGACGGGTCAGTCAACAAGCAATCCTTTTCATGATGGCAGTTAATCATCTTCCCGATAACGAAGCCGAAGTCTTCAAACTGATCTCTACCAATGAGAACCTTGTCCTTCTTGATAGTCTTTAGTATGATAAACCTTGCTTCTCTACAGATTGA